CTTCAAGAACTTGTTATCGCTGGCAAACTTCGCACACAATATGTACCCTCTCATCTCCAAGTTGCTGACATCTTCACAAAAAGTATTTCTCGACCTCTCTTTGAGTTTTTCAGATCCAAGCTTCACGTTCGTTTAAATCCGACGCTCAGCTTGTGGGGGGAGGGGGGGAGGTTAAGGATAGTTGACCGTTCATTATAAGGCAAATATCTAGATATTTGCCTTACATAACGGCTTACTATATTTGCCCTTTTATTAAAGGCAAATATATTGTATTCATTTATTATTCTTTCCTCTTACCGTTATTTCCATATTATTTGTAATTTACCATATTTCTGTATTCTGTAAATGATTATAAATAAGAGAATTCTTACCACCATTTAAGTGTGGTGGATTCAGCAAACATTTACAATGTCTTATAAAAAGGCTTGTGCTACAGAACCTTAAGTACTACCAAAACTTTGCATCATCGACTAGATAAATTCTTGCCAATGTAACCTTCACTTCTTATAAAAAAGGCTTGTGCTACAGAACCTTAAGTACTACCAAAACTTTGCATCATCGACTAGATAAATTCTTGCCAATGTAACCTTCACTTCTTATAAAAAAGGCTTGTGCTACAGAACCTTTATCTAGTTGAAATTGGACTACAACTTAAACTGAGGTTTGATTCTCAAATCCGCCACTTCATCCCTACCCACTCCAAAGGCTACTCTCAAAATTTTAGATATTTTTTAGACAATTTGAACGATTTCTTGTTGAGTATTATCTAAGCCCGCAATATGTTCTTCCATCCAAGCAACAGAGCCCGTCGAGCTATCCCCACGCTTGAGCCACTAGCAGGTGTGGCAGTCTTTTGGCGCCTTGACCCTAACCATTAATACATGGACATTAGTTTCTCAAGGCGACCTGCCAGCTCGTTGATCCTGTTAGCTTTAACGAAAATAAAATTAATGCGAGATTTTAAAAGCCCCAATTCATCAGGAACTTCACTTAGGTAGAGTAACTAATTTTTGATCTCTACCAATTGATTAGTCTGGGACTTGCCCAGTTCTTTTGCAGCAAACATGTTTGTGTCCTACGATTCAAGGAGACAACTTGGCTTTGATATTACTTATCACAATTGAATTATTGTGGCACCGGGATAACGATTATGCGACACTTATTCTAACCCAGTGAACAAGATAGTATAGGCTAAGAGAAAATAAGCAACAACCACAACGTTGATAGCATATAACCTGAATAGGAAGAATTGATTACTAGTCACATACTTTATAGTACATTTTGAGGCATTTTAGCCCTAACAGGTGTAGACATTATTTTGTTGACAGGTCATACACCCCATACTAACACAACAATAATAGTAAATGCCTATCTAACTTGAAAGTAAGTAAAGGTGTTTGGAACGGACATGCGGTTGTGGACAATACGTCATGAACAAGCATGATTGGGGCATCTGACATGCGATCGTAGGTAACACGCCATGGACAAGCATGACCGTGACAGCCTGCAGCTTGACTTAAGCTCACCTCGTCTTGACAAGGTATGTAAGTTGTAAGGTAGTAGGCATGATCTCACACCTTATGTGAATTATATGCACATGTCAGTTACTTACTGCCTTATGAACTAATTAGGATACAATTTGTTACAATACCTAATAACTTGGTGTTTAGGATACAATATGTTACAATACCTAATAACTTGGTGTCTATTGCATGATGATAGATTATGGACCCTAAAACCTGAAGTGGTACTATACGAGATGGTAGAGTAGGTAGAGGCTTGACTGAGACCGACCCTACTCAAATTCCTTATAAGGAAAGGCATGCTAAGAACAAGTGTTGGAATAAGTAGATACCATGATACTACAATCTATGATCTAGGCCACTCAGATAAACTAGGGTAACATAAATAGAGGAGAAAATGTCAGAATATCTAGGTTGTCGAGAGTGTTAAGATTTGTGCCCTAAAGCCTTGTAATTAATTGTTTAATTTTAATAACAACTTTGATTATTTTATTTAAAATTTAATATTATCCCATATGTGATTGACATACAAGAGGATCACGAATCAGTCTTGCGCTATTTACCAGTGAGTGGTATTATTGGACTGAATGAGATTCATTCTTTCATTCAGTAAAGCTATTTGATTTCCCCTTTTTGACCTCCCCATGTCCCTCCCGTGTGGATAGAGGCGAAAAGAGGAACGATGACGAATGAATAAGGAGTGTTTACAGGAGAATGAATCGGAAAGGTGCGAAGCTGCTCGCCGAGTGGCAAAGCCTTGGATTCAATTCTCCCCTCTGTAACTGCCGCCGCTCTCTTATCTATTAGCCTAAGCTATCTCCCATTTTAGTTTGAGTTATTCACTAGAGCCCAATTATGATCTGGAAGTGGATCCGGCCGGGACTAGCACTATGCCTTTCAACTTAAATGGTTTCAATTTCAGATCGAGTAATCTCTTCCTTTATCGAAGAAAAGGTATTTCGAGTTTGCATGGTCAAAGAGCCGGGGACCTTGAAATAGCAAATTCACTAAGCCAATCCTCTGGAAAAGAAGAAAGCAGCACTTTAGTGATTCAAAGTTCTTTACTAACTCAGTGTCCCTGACGAGAACCTAGTTAGAAACTCAGAGTTTACTGGATTTCCCTGTCAAAGTGAAATACTCCTTTTATTCATTCTCCTTCACCTTCGTAAGACCTTTTTCACTAATAGCAGCAGCAAAAAGAAAAGAAATTCTATCCAGCATAGGGGTCAAAGTTCGTAATCGCTTTTTCAGGATCATGTTTAAGAATAACCTAAAGGGTCTATATTATATGGATAAAAGTTTGCGGGTGCTAAACAACTAGAAGGTTCAACCACACCAGAGGTAGTTCCTTCAGCATTTTTACATGAAGCTTTAGCGATGTGATTCTCGTAAGTTAGGTTTATGTCTATCAAGTTTAATCCAGTGCAATGATTTGTTGGACTACAATCAAACTTGATTGCTATTTCAGTGGCTGAAGTTCCCTTGATGTCTTCGTATGTTACTTCGCTAACTTTAACTCCAGAATCCTATTAAAATAAAGAACAATCAAAATATGCTATGAAAACGGATAACCAAGGACATCTATAAAAACATTTACCATGTAACTTGTTTTACTTAGTTATTCTCCACCAAAATTTTTTAATTCCATGAAACCCTAAGTTATATTATAAAACTATATTATAAAACTAAATATAAATTAGGAATTAAATAATAAGATACAAATATATACAACAAATAAGATATAAATCGAGCATATTCTTAGATTTTCTAGATAGTTATATAAGTTTGAGCAATTATCTCCAATGATATTAGATATTTTAGATAAATTAAAAAATAAAATCATAAAAGCTTCATACCATTTTAAGATAATCCATTGATGTTCACATTCTTTCCATCATTTATTTGAAGACTCTATCCATTCAAAACAATCAAAAGCCAGAATTAGTAAAAATTTAAAATAATATTGTAATTAATCCAGTCATTCTCTTTCCACTTTGAGTTAAAAGAAAAATTTTCAAAATTTTTTTATATGGAGCCAACTCAAATTATGCATACCCTGGCTCCAATGGGGCAACTCTTCCCTTAGCGTTTACATTTCCAAAGGGAGTTCCTTGCCCGTTAATAATACCGCCAGTAATGGAAAGCCCACTTATGTGATTAAACGAAATCCAAGAACTAGAATTAGCTAAAACTTGAATGTCCGAGGAAGCCACAAGAGTTCCATCAATGAGAACAGTAATAGCATTGTTCTTACAAGGCCCATTAAATCTCACACTTCGAACGAAGAATATACCCTCGGGAACATAAATAGTGGCTGGTTCAGTTGAGTCACAGGCCTTAGCCCATGCCGTTTGAAGCACAGGCGAGGCATCGGTCTTTTCATCAGGCTTAGCAACGAGAGTAATAATATTGAATGTTAATTCAGCAGCTGAGGCATGGTTAAAGAACAAAATTAGCAGGGAAAGAAAAACATGTAAGATTACGAGAAGAGACAAAGAAAACTTAATGATACAATTGTTCATGATAAGCATGAGAAAGAGAAAAAGGAAGAAGTGATAGGATAATAGAAGAGGTGTGGAGTGATATTTTAGGTTAATGCTTACCCTTCAAACTCTAATTTTAACTTATCTGTCTCAAGTACTATTTAACCATTATTGTTTGTATATGGTTTACCATTTTTAATTAGGTATGTCAGGTAGGTAAATTTAATCGAATAGAATGATCATTTAACTCTGTCTCGTGCTAACATTTTTAAATTTAAGTCTATCTTATAAGATAATACACTAGTTATCATGATAACGATTTCTCATTTTTAAAATTATTAAATTAAAAATGGTTTCTTTGTCAATATGATTTTATTTTTGTTTTAACTTAAAAGGGGATGGGAAGATTTTAACAAAAAAGAAAGAAAAAAAAACCCTAATTTTTCCATCTGTTTCATTGGCCTCTCAACCTCCTAAGAATAACAATTTCCTAATACTTTTAGTGTTTATATTTTTAGATATCGATTCTATATTGATTCTCTATTATAATAAAAATAATAAAACATTCTGTAAGATAGGATCGACAAAACACTATTATATGTTTTTCAGTCATTTTTATCATGTTGGTGTTAGTGATGTAATAGAAAGTTGGTGATTTTTTATTTGCAAAGATGTCGCAAATAATGAGAGGTAGAATTGTTTGTCATATTTGTAACTATCCAATAAATTTACAAATACATCACACCCAGAAATAATTTACAAATGTTATATTTTTCGAAGTCTTAAAGTCTATCAATGATAGAGTATGTCAATAATATGCTGTTTTTATACCTATCAACAAATTTTTTTAATCATGTATAGATTTTTTTTATTGTCACTTAGGGATTTGTATCACTATGATAGACATCTCTTTTCTCCTTTGATTAAATTAAACCCAATTATCACTATGATAGGTTCTTTCCTTTTATTTTTGTAAACTTTGACTGGATCAGTTTAAAATTAATGAACTAAAATCTAATTGGTGTAGAGACAACAAATCTAGGAGGGATGGAGGGAGAGAGAGATCCATGAAAAGGTAAAATAAGTGAGGGATGAGAGAGAGATATCTTATGAATAAAAAGATTGGGCGCCTTAAGTAAGTATTACGACTTACATATAACTCAGATAGAAAGAATTGAAAACTTGTCACATCCCCCTATAGTACATTTTGCGGCATTTTGATCCTCGTAGGTATAAACATGATTTTGGTGAACAGTCATACACCTTCGAATTGACATAATAGAAATGATAAAGACCTAACTCCGTAAAAACAAGTAAAAGGGGTTTGGAACGAGCACGAGACCATAGACAACACGCCTTGGACAAACATGACAGTGACATCCAGAATGCGACTACAGATAACAGACATTTGACAAGCATACTTGTGATATTCTCCTCCACTCAATTTGCTGACGTCTTTATCAACGAACTCTTCACGAACTAAGCAATGTAGAATGAGACTGACTTTAGCTCTCTCGAAGTGTTTCCAACCGATCTCAGCATTGTGATATCTCTTCCATCTACCAAGAACTTTTATAAGTCTTTTCCTGATCTATTGATGTGTCGTATCTTTCAACCAAAGTCTCTTCTACTTTCTTCGTAATGAGATTCTTCATCATGGCAGGAGGTCGTGTTGCTGCATTATTATTAGTGTCGTCTTTAATAGGATACGTTTTAAGTTTATGACGTGGATAACATAACTAGTCCTCATCCATGGGAGCAATCGGTTCCTATATGATGCCTTCCAAACCTTCTACGTGACTTTAACTGGTCTATAGTATTTTCGCATCAACTTCTGATTCTTATTGTTTTGGGATCAAAGTTGATCGGATCTCAACTTGATTAGAACTTTGTCTTCACTTTCAAACTTTTTGCAGCTTGCGTTTCTGACCGGTTATTCTATCCGTTCGTTTGGATGTTTCTTTTTTCTGATTTGACACTAGTTCCTTTGGAGATTTGTCTCCACCTTTTGGTGAAGGTATTCGCTTGGACCTCTCCCTAGCATTCGAGTTATCACTAACAAATGCGACATTCAACAAGTCATTTAACTATTTATGAAATTCAGCTAACTCCGCTTGAAGCATACGACACATATTTGTAATACACGATCTCGTCCCTAATACTAAATCAATTTTAGATCTATCACTCTAGGTGGGGAAGTCTTATGTTGTGATGTTTTCCTTTAGTGACTGCGAGGTTTCTATTTGAATTTGCTCACTCGAGCCCTCCTCTTCAATAATGGGAATGATGATGAACGTGGGTTCATCATGGGTAAGATTGAGTCTCAATTATAGCGTCGATATCATCTTCACCCTTTTGGTTATTGGGTATGGATCTAAATGATCGTGTGGTTTGACCTCATAACCACTAAGCATTTTGTTTGGGGCATGGAAATGACCTCGCCTTTAAGAAAAAAAAATCTATCCCTAACACGGCATTGAAATCATTCATCTTGATTATCATAAAATCGGTTTGCTCAATCCAAGTCTCCAACTTGATCGAAGTTCTCTTTGTAATTTTTGAGATAGATAAGGCTACAAAATTACAAAATTGATAGTTTCATCATTCCATTGTCTTGATGCTAAAGAGTGTTCAAGCATTTCTCTTTGGTCTCTATCATGAAGTTGTGGATGACTCTAGAATTGATCATTCTACTCTTGGCCGATCTATGGTTAACCAAGACCTCATTCTATTGGCTCTTTTATCTCTCCCACTCTCTTTCGGAAAGCAAATAGTACTTCAACATCCCCAATGCAGGGGATTTTGACGCATTGACTTGGAAGGCATGGAGAGCCACCCGTTGTGGGTATTCAGATTCTCAATAGGCCACCTTGCATATGAAGCAAACAAGGGCCCTTATTTGTAGCTTTTTTGGTCATGAGGTCTGTCATGAATATCTACCTCTCTTTTGGGATGATTCATAGTCTCATCCTCGAGCTTCTAAGTCTACCACCTCTTCTTATTAGGGTTTATGTCCTAAAGTCTTGTAATTAATTATTTAATAATTATTTTATTTATAATTTAATATTATCCATTGTATGAAAAATTCAAGGTGTCCCAACTCGAATTTTCAATCATCAAAACTCGTGATATGAACCAAGAGACATCAATCATACAATATACTTCAACGAAGATGTGAAAAAAATACTATTTAAATTATCAAAAGATATTTCAATTCATGTCACATTGAAGAAGAATGAAGTTTCATGTTATAAATTTTGGGTAGATTACAATTTAGAGTAATTTAGAGTATATTGTATGATTGATGTCTCTTGTTTCATATCAATCCAAATCGAGACTAAAAAGATAAAAGCGAAATTAAATAAAAATAAAATAAAATAATAAAATGAAGTAAAATCAAAATCAAATTAGTGAAACAATATCACAATATAAATACAAAATAAATACAATTAAAAGACAATATCTGTAGGCTCTCTCACATCCTAGACCTAGCTTGTGATCACGGGCTTTACTCTAGGCTCTAGGTGGAGATCTCTTGTTGTTCATAAACTTCGGAGACTACGCAACAGTAACCAGTGTCCAATGTTAAGGTGATACCTCACAAAACTCTCTCTAATTGGTGGGGACAACATGGTGAGTACTAGCCTGTCGTCATCCATGGGAGGTACCTAGGGAACTCGTCCCAAGAGCCATGTAGTCACCTAAGATAAGGGGCACGACCCCCTGTATGTGTTAGCTTCACTGACTACCCGTAAGATCAACACCCATCAACTGGACATATCCACCGTGCAGAGGAATCCAAGTGAACTATCAAGTAGCTTGTTCCTATCCAACCTCACACGTAACTCAACAGTATCGTACTGGAATGGAAAGGGAAGTAGAATCTCCATAAACTTTATTGTGTACAATCGGCCTAGGTGGATACCTTTATCTACTAGGGTTGTCGTGGTGGTCTTCTAGGTCCCTAGGACGGTTTGGCAGCCTTAGCATAGATTCACGTCTCCAGGTTCTTCGATTCCATCTCTTTGAGTCTGATTCGGTCGGGAGCATTAGGACTACACTTATTGATGGTCTCTAACTATTCTAAAAATTGTAAAATTGTAAAATAATTGGAATAACTTGATGGATAAAGTTTGTAATAAATAGTTATTATAAATAGGTCCTCATAATTGAAATTTAAATGAATTTATTCAGCCAACACCTTTATTTTGAACAAAACATAAATTAATGCTATGAACGGTCCGTTTAACTTTTGGTATCCTCTCTTCCCTATCTCATTATTTTTCAATTTCATTATTACTTTCACTTTCCAAAATATTTTTACACATTCCATTTATTATAATTATGACCTAAATTATTAAATTGCGATAATAATTTAATCATTTTTAAAACTTAGATTGGTTCATTCTTAGTTTATATATTTATGTTTATAATTATATAAATATTTATAATAATTTTATAATTAAGATTAACTAATCTAAGTATTGTACATCAATACATTTAGGTTGAACTAATTTGGTAGCTAATGGATACATTATTTCAAAAATGTCCAACAATATCAATTAGACACTCTCTTATAAAGACAGTTTCGTTTTTCTCTCTAACCGAGGTGGGATCTCACAATGCACCCCCTTCAGAGTCCAGAGACCTCGTTGGCAATCATTTCGTTCCCCTCTCCAACTAATGTGGGATCTTACAATCCACTCTCTTCACGGCTCAATGTTCTCGCTGGCACTCATTCCTCTCTCCAATCGATGTGAGATCTCTCACAGTACTCTCCCCTTTCGGGCCCAGCGTCCTCGCTGACATACCAATTGGTTTCTGACTCTAATACCATTTGTAACCATTCAAGCCCACCATTAGCAGACATTGGCCTTTTTGGGCTTTCACTTTCGAGCTTCTCTCCAAGGTTTTTATAACACGTCTGTTGAGGATAGATTTTCAC